TGTGTGGTTGTGTGTGTGGTGGTGTGTGGTTGTGTGTGTGTGTTGTGTGTGTTGTTGTGTGTGTGTTGTGTGTTGTGTGTGTTGTGTGTGTGTGTGTATGTGTGTGTGTGTGTGTCTGTGTGTGTGTGTGTGTCTGTGTGTGTGTGTCTGTGTGTCTGTATGTGTGTATGTGTGTATGTGTGTATGTGTGTATGTGTGTGGGTGGGTGGGTGCGTGCGTGCGTGCGTGTGTCTGTGTGTCTGTCTGTCCGTCTGTCTGCTGTCTGTCTGCTGTCTGTCTGTCCGTCAGTCGGTCCGTCCGTCCGTCCGTCCGTCTGTCTGTGCTGTGTTGTGTTTAATGTTTTTGGTACACACAGCCATGTATGCAGGTATTTATCGGCAAGTCGCCAAGGAAGCAGGCGGGCGGGCAGGCAAAGAGGCAGAAAGGCCGGAAGAGAAGCAGGCATGTGAACATAGAAGCAGGCATGTGAACATGGATGCTTGCATGCATGCATGCATGCATGCGCGTGTGCACGCACGCGCTCACGCATGTGTGTGCATGTGTGCGGGTGTGTGGGTGGGTAGAGCTACTGATGTGTACCGATGCGATGAGCAGATGATTTCAGCACCCGATCACCAACACACCGATCTGTCGGTCAAATGCTTTCCAGAGCGGATCAATCTTCAGGACCAGACGCTTTGTGGAACGCAGATCGCATCTTTGCCAAACACGCCATAATGCCGTCAGGCCGTCAGATGCTTTCCGGATGTCGGCTCATTGTGCCAATGTAGCCACGCACGAACAATGAAATCATCCATGCTCCTCCTGCACGAACGACCCGCAAACCCTAGAAACCCACAGAAACGTGTACCAACCCCCGGTTCTCCCCGAATGCACTGCGCACGAATCTAGGCGGCCAAAGATTAAACGGCTTGCCACAACGCGCTGATCCCTGATTTCGCGCAGAGCGCAGGATCGGATCATTCCTTCGGAGAGGTTCAAAATTCGAGAAGCATCTTATCGGATAATAATATGCCAAATTCAGGTTGAAGCTCTAGGGGTGTGTAAAGGTTTTGTGTGTAAAGGAGCATGAATACTTCAGGAATTCCTGGGGCAGGAGTGAGCCACTCTGCCAAGTACATCTGTCGCCTGGGATGCCTGGACTCCTGGACTGCTGGGATCCACAGAACAGAAACACCCGAAAGCTTTGGTGACGGAATGTGCCCAGCATGCGCCAATATCGTCCTAAGAGCTGTGGCTCAGCAGCAGACTCTCTCCTGGATCTTCTATATCTTGATCTTGCGGCTGCTTCCTGCCAACACGTGACCCGCCTGTCCCTCTTTAGCTGGCACATGGGATGCTCACAAGAAACGAAACGCTCAAGCTCAGCGCCGAGACCCAGCTTTGAGCAGGCCGTTGCAAACAGGCCATGCTTGCGTATCAGCAGGAGTCTGCATCTCTGCTTTCTCCTCCTGCGAGTGCGACTGTCGCAGAATGACCCCTGCAACTGCACATTGCAGCAATTTGAGATACTGTTCACAACACTCAGACAAGAACGAACAACAGAATTGCATGCATGTGTTGCCGCAAGTGTGGCATTGGCGACTGGCTTGGATCTTCGGCTCATTTAATACATGTCTTGGCTTGTATGCCGAAATCATATGCCCAATGTCGGACACATCCCAGGCAACCATTCCTTGCTCCCAGAAAATATCAACCTGCTTGAACTGTGAATTAATGCGCATTAGGTCCGCATACATGTCGAGCTCTCTCGAAGACGTTCACGACTTTTGTTGTTTGAAACATGGCATCACGTTCTGCACAACAGGCACGTGATCCGATGCATCCCATGATGTTCCAACTGTAGCTGAATCCACGTGCGGCGTCCTCTGTGAGGGGGGCGGTCGTGCGCGACATCCCCTTGACCTCAGGACACCACAGCGACATGTCCCTGTTCTACCCGGGCGATTCGCTGTTGTGCTGTTTCAACGCATGCTTGGTGTGTGTGTAATGATTTGACGGTGGCCCATTTTGCCTACAGAATTATGATACTACGTCACAGCGACACCGCCATATTACTGTAAGCTGACATATGTTGCTGAACTGTCGGCCTACAGTCTGGCTTCAATAGACTATCTGTCATGCAGTGAAATGTGTACAGTGTTGAATGCGCTCGTTCTGAAACTATCTTTTCCGCTGTCTTGATACTCGTATATTATCATACTCGCGCGGCCTCCTTTACAACTTTTATGTTGTCACTCCATGGCATACTTGCATTTGGGTGTTCTGATATGAATGCATTATCACTGCTGTTGCCGTTGCGGCAAGATGCTGCTTTGTCATCATTTTCGCATATCTTGACGTTTGTACTTGTGTGAGGTGTATATGTATAGCCCGTCCGCACCCCTTCCTCAAAAAACACAGGTAAACGCATGTACCACCAATATACAGCTTAATCGTACATATAGCCTAACCTATTGTGCTTGTACATGGATCGATATGCCCCACACTCAGATGGGGGAATAAAGGACCAAATCCAAAAGATCAAGAAACGATCAAATTCCATGTTTTCCTGTGCTATGAACCTTGAACATCGAAGATCCCACGGGGGGAAGCAGCCAGGAATCTGCAATGTGCAATGTTCAAAGCAGGAAACATGACAAATCTGTTTTTTCTAACTGTTTTTGGTGTGTGTTTATTTATTCGGTTGTATGTGTTGACGTTTTCACGTTTACGCACGCAAGATTGCAGGCAAATGATCAAAATTTAAAACAGTTTGAAACTATGAACAACGATATTTCCCTGCTTTGAACATTGGACATCCAAGATCCCAACAAAAGTTCCCAGGAAGCTTCAAGTTCGATGTTCAAAGCGGGAGAGACGGTCAATGTTCATACTATTTTGGTTGCTGTGGTCTCTGACCCCAATGCTTCCTGGAATAGCAAGCCGAATGCTGGCAGATTGCAAACGCCTGCAATCGCTCAGTGTTCGGGTATTTTGTATGGATACAGTTACGGGGCTACTATTCTGGCTTCCAGTATCGCTGCACTAGAAAGGTTCTGTTTAATCAACCTTA